ATTTCAAGCGTTTCTGTGGTTCTTTTCCCAAGACGAACGCTACATTCAATCGCAGTTGACGCATTTCACATGCCGCATTCATCTCCACCGACATTAAAATGTTTCAAGTCCGTTGATGACAATGTTTTAAGTGTTGCCTTCAAATTTCGTAAAATACGCAGAGATAGGTTACTGACTAAGCACACCAAATAGCACTCGGAAACCTTTTCCTATTCGGTCACTCAACGCTCCGTCCACGAACTGTTTGATAGTTCCCCGTACATGCCTACTTCAAGAGAGAGGGAGAAAAGTAACTTCAGTGGGTTAGTTTCAACATAGCGCAATGTGACAGAAGCGCATTTTTCTGGTGAACATGCACAAAATTGAGTTATCTTGAATGATTCTCAAACAATACCCATTTGTCACTTGATAATTAAGCTTCAGAAAACTGCAATTACTTTTTAAATAACTATATTAATTTTAGAGATGGAGCTGTAAAAACAGGCGATCGAGCGCAATGAAGATTTCGGCAATTCTGGAATCTAACGTTTGTATTTCAGCAGTAATATGAAAACTAGCTGCTATTAGTCGCTACTTTGATAAAAGGAGTAAATAATCATCGGGTGTCTACAGTGTTTTCCGATATTTTTTTTTACTTGACTCCAATGTTCATGTATTTGAAGTATGCAAGGTGTCCAAGGCAAATTAAAATTGTCGGGATCAAGTGGATAAACAGTGTACTTCAGTTGGCGATTCATTAGAAGAGTGGAGCTCGCAGATGTTCTTTCCTAATTAATGCTGATCACTTCCAAGAATCGTCCTGTGGATCCACGCGTGCAAAGAAATCCGTTCCGATGGATCCCATGCCTCTCACTTCTCATCACATCACCTCGTGAAGTGCATTATGCAATAACTGTATCTTCATGAGAACAGCGAAGAGGAAGCTGAGGTGGTTCTTGGAAATCTGTGAAGATGGTCAACAAAGAATGTATTTATTTGACAACGATTGATGGAAGATAGGATCAGCATTGACGTTAACAAAACTTGGCCAAGTACGCATATTTTGTGGTGCAAAATAAATGAATTATTTGGAAAATTTGATGAAAAGGACTGTGCAGAAATCTGTTCTGCAATATGGCTTTCGAATTTGCATGACTAAATCGCACGCATAGTCTGGTGAGTCACCGGCAGAAGGTTCAACACAAGAAGCTGTTCGTTAAGGCACCAATGATATACTTTCCAATCATGATGTATGGGACATAAAACCGTATTCTAAACATAACATGGCCTTTATGGTGCTTTGGAGCAATTAAGCTTGAATCCTCACATATGTGGCCAGGAAATCGCGACTTAGTCTTACTGTGCACAGGTGACATTTCAGTAGAGGTTGGTACAATGGACCTACAGGTGGCATTTCTATCGCTTGTAGGTCTCTGCATGACTGAAGAAAGCTGCAGGCAAGCAATTCTGAAAGAGAATCTTTTAACGCAAGAATTTAAGGCTCCCTGAAAGAGGAGCACTCAGCCAGTCGTTCTTGGTCGCTATGTCGTTGCAAGCCTGACAATAGGGCGAAGATGCAATTTTGAGCATTTTCCGGAGGACAAGAATATGCCCCATTTTTCGAGTTAAAGAATGAAAAATGAGGGATTTCCTCATTTGCACCGGAGTTGAGAGTCTGAGCCCCTTGGTGCAATGATATATATTCGCCAATAATCATTGTTCTGACAAGAATAAAGATAAATTATTACCCTCCTGAGAAATATCATGATTGAATATTCATCCTTTTGTCGGACCTATTACAATGTGAGTAAAGTGGCTGCAAAGTGGCTGTAAAGTCTATCCATGAACGATGGACAAGGAATGCATCCGATCTCCAAGATAACGGATCCTTTAGTTTTTTTCCATTTGAATAATTGGTCTCCTATTGCGTCTGTTGAATTTTCTGAAAATTTCTAGGGTTTTCTAATTTTTCTCAAATAGGTTCCAAATTTCGATAGTGTCGAACATATATAGATATATCAAACTTGACTGGAATGCGTTCCTAGATTTGATACATAGTCTTATCGTCTTGGATCTCTGTGAGTAATAAAATAATCGAGTTACCGTCGCAGAGCATTACGGTAACCGCTTAAGAAGCCCACTGACCCAAAAAAGTGAGACGAGAAACAGAAAAATCTCAGACGAGCAGCCCTTGTTGCTCGGACGGCAGCGAGAGACCTCCCATCTGGCCTCCGCTGCCCCATCCTACGGAACGAGGGGTACAAAAGAGTCCCGGGCCTCATTAGCCACGTCATTCCAATATCGTCTTTCTCATTGAGCTGACGACTCGACCGGGCGTCGTTGGCAATATTGCGACTTGTAGCTCCAAGTTACGAGGCTCGAATGTAAACGGTATCGAACTGGGGCATTTGACGCTCTATCGGGTCTTTCGTTAAGCTTCACTCGTTTGCAATCGACTCCTACGTTGTTGCATGGGAAGTTCCACTCGAGCCTGTCGGAGTCGATTGAGATGTCACTTTAAAAAGGCCTGCGAATGAAGTCACGATTCTTTCAAACTCCTCCCCTCTGTTCCTGTTTTTGCGCCTTTCGCCATTTCGCACCATTTTTGCGCCATTTCGCAAACCAGTTTTGACTACGAACTACTCAAAACGTTGGCTTCATTTGTCGAAGCCAAAGAACATGGCTTCAACTTGAAGTGCCAGAAAAATCGGCCCAAATTTCGCAATATTTGACCTCAATCTAAATCCGCGGGCTAATTTTTTTTCGCAAAGGAAGTCATTATCTAGCATAAAATCCGTTTCAACGTGAGAAAAGTCATCATGTCGGATGGTCAGCCTAACAATTCAACAGACAATTCCACTGGCAATTTCATAATAAAACAAAAAAAAAGTGGAATGCGAGAAAAGCGAAATGGTAATCGGCAAGATTGGATGGTAACGAATTAAAATTAACGCGTTTACAGTTAATAATTACATTTTATGTTAATTTCAGCGGTAACGAGTAACTTAGCTGAAACTTTTATTGGAAGCAGTCTCTAGTTTCTTTCCCAAGGAAAATGTCAGTGGCGTTGAAAATGATTAATGGAAATAATTAAGGATGTCAGAAGCCTATATGTATCAAGTAATGAATGTATGAATTAAGTATGAATTAAGTCGCATGGAAATAAGCGGAGGAAAAGCATCGTTTTCTGGATGACAACGTCATGAACACCGTTTCTTCACCCTCTTCTGTCCATCGGAGGATGGCAACCATTCCCGCCGCTTCGATATTGAGAGTAGCCAAAAACATTCAAGGCTCAAGACTCAAGGTTAGGGGCGGTCCGTTCTCAAGGCAAGGTCAAGTGAAATAGGCCTACTTTCCATCTTAGAGATAGATATTTTTGTGGGAGACTATCCATCCACTAGTCACAGCTACAAATTTCTCCCTTATTTGTTTCGTCCACAAAGGCATCTCACCTCTTCTCGAAGCCAGACAAGGAAGGGGCAGCCGATACATTATCACTTAATGCATCCCACTCATTCAATACCCTACAAGTCGAGGTCATTCTACAACCTGAATCTCACTTGGGATTTACGTAACTCGAACTGATTCCCTCTCCCTCCGCTGTTACCCCCGAGATGGAGAAATCCACCGCGCCCCACGTTATCGATTCCCTTAATGGTCTTAAAAGCTTGGATGAGGTCCCTCCTCGTTAGTCTTCTTTCGAGCGAGTAGAGTCCCAACGTTTTCTAAACGCTTCTCGCGAGAAAGTCCTCGTACCTCTTTCGTCGTTTTCGTAGCCCGCCTCTGAACCCTCACGAGCGCCCGTTAGATCGCTTTTTTTTCTGCAGGATTGAATGCAATGCTCAATATGGAGTCTGACCAGTGTTGCACGAAACGGAAGGATAAAGCGCCAGTTTTTAGGCAATGGAGTTCCGAATGAAAATTAAAAGCCTGTTATATCTTTTCTACTGTCGCTGGTGCGCGTGAGGAGAGCTTGAGATCACATTGGCCATTGGCTATTCCCAGTACTTAGATACAGTTAGTAGAGTTGATTCCAAAATGATTCTGTACGTGTATAAAGGCCATAAATGGCACCTCAATGATTCTCTGCTACGGTATCTTAAGTATTTGTAAAGTTGTAACTTCATCTAGTTTTCAATAATTTAGGCTTCCAAGTAGAGCCAATGTTTTAGGCCACTGTTTAGAACGCTTACGTTCCCGGTAGACCTTGTCGGAAAAAATACATTAGGACGAAAATGCCAAGTAGATTGACTCATACTTCAATTACTCGAAGCCAGACTTAGGGGGACAGTAGTATTCAGGACTGATCTAAGAGTAGCAAAACTTATAAGGTTTTGGGCACAAAAGTCTTGGCTAAGACTTTTCTGGCAGGAGGTTTTTTTTTTAAACTCATAATGCTACAACATTTATGAGCATCAGTGGTGATGAGAAAGTATTTTTTTTTTGCGACGGAGATTTCCTCTTTTTTGTGCCGTTTTGGGCATAATTTAGGACATTCTCCAGAATAAGTGAGGCTTTTTTGTGACCGTAAAGAGCATAAGCGTGGATGGAAAAAGTGTGTGGGGGGGCACAGAAACTCTAGGACATTATTTTCAGGCATTCCATGCGTCCCTTCCTACTTACTTTTGGTTCTTTTACTGAAAAATGGGTGGGTGGGGGGAGGCATGTGCTCCTTCCCCCTCCTCCCCCCCCCCCCCCCCCCCCCCC